TTAACTTACCCTAAAAAGTTAATATACCATTAAGTGATAGATGAGATCAATCCTCGCAGAAACAACCATCTTTGGAGTTTTCTCGTATCCATTGCAAGTATCGTGTGACTCTCGTGTACACACCTGGATAACCAGGACGAGCACAACCATTGCCCCATGACACCACTCCAATCAATTCGTATTTCTTATCTTCTCGTTGAGCAGACAGGGGGCCACCACTGTCGCCCTGAAAATATTATTGAAAGGATATATAATATTACATATACGTTTTGTATTCATTATATGGCGCACAATATTATTAAGTTTGGGTCCTTTATGCTGCTAACAATTAAAATCCAGTCACCAATGTGGAAAATATTCAAATAAACAGACAAAGATTTTTTATATATTTATTTTATTTTTTTTACTTCTGGTATTCTTTAGGGGGAAGTTCCCAAGTGGCGGACACTTAAAGTTATTTATAAATAAATAAAAAAATATTTTACGAAATGTTTATTAAATTAAGATTTATGTTAGATAACAAAGTTAGAAATCAAACTAAATTATCAAAACCGCAATCTGTGCTAAAAAATAATTAATACTATCAATTAAACTTTGCTATCAAAAATATGATTTTAAACAATGGCACCTAGTACCGGACATTTCAAAATAACCTGCATTGATCACATATGTAGCCATCTCCACGCTCTGGAATGTCTGCACATGTGTTCTAGACAAATATTCTTATATATTGCAAAAAAAAAGTCACTATTCATCCAACCTTTTGGCTGCGCCGCACCGATGCTCTCAGCTAATGCATTCATAAGCTTTTCATTCTTTGACTAGGAAATACAAAAAATGTGGGTATGTAGTGACTGTTAGCACTCATACAGAATAAAATTAAATAATTGGAATAAATTACGTGAATTCTCACAAGAAATATCAATATGTTTACTGTCCGACACTGAGGGACGGCTTAGTGTCCGGTGCTAAGGGACAGACATTTTCGTTCATTTAATGGCACCTACTAAAATTGGTTAAAAGATCTAATGATATTGTACCATTTTACGGATGATAGTCAAGTACAACTTTTATCTTCGCATATCACTCAAATGTAAATGCATAAATATGCTAGAATTACTTCCATTGATATTTAGGTGACTCCGTGATTTTGCGCCTAAAACAGCAAAGGGTTGCTACCGCGGTGGCCGTGTGCGTCACAGTTGAGTCTTGGCGCGTGATCCTGCACCTGTGTGCCTCTCGCGCTACTTTTACTTGTATTTTGAAATGAAAAGATTTATACTCGCTTAAATAATACGTGTTAAATAGAGTGTTCGGTCTTTGGTGCCGTCCGGCGTTTCGGGACTTTCCTCTACATATAACTGTATAACTGAGTGTGATTGAAGTATTGAACTCAACTGGTTTGAACTCATACTGACTGTTATTGCATCATTCGCAAACTTAAATGACTTAAACAATGTTTTACGAGCTTTCGTTATTTGAGTTGAGACTTGGCCAAGGATATTTTGAACATACAATCTTGTAGCGTATGACTCATTAACAAACTGCGTTGTTTATATTCTGATCGTTATATAGTGGTTTATATTATTAACACACTATAGGCGGGCCCCGTAAAAATACTCATCAGACCAAACTGATATGTGTAGCGGGCAAATCGCTTGCTCGACACGAGTGCTCTTTCCGTCGCCTCGCATGAACACAACTGACTGTCACATTGAACATATTTTTTTATAACTCTTTAAAAAAAAAAAACCGTCTGGTTGGTTTGAACTATAAAAAAATTATTTAATTAATGCATAATTAAACATAAAACTAACAAAAACTAGTGGCGTATGGCATCGTGCCTTAAGGCAAATTGCTGAAACTTCCTGTACCATAACGAAATGTTCGAGGAATATTGAGTATTGAATGAAATATTTTTTTCCTAAAGCAATTGTTATGTCAATACAATCAGAATGTTTTTTAAATCATTCAATTCGGATGCTTATTTCTCTCAAAAACTGCCATTTTGTGTACACTTAGCTCCGTATCTTTGAAATGGCTGAACCTGCCTTTGCCAAAAACTAATCACCACTTCTTCCAATCATTACTAATTTAATGTTTTTTAGATCATTCAAATCGGATGCTCCGTTCTCTCAAAAACTCGATTTCTATTTTCTGCACTTTTTGCTCTGTATCTCCGTAACGGCTGGACCTGCGATTGCCAAAAACTAATGAGCACATCTCCCTATCAATAGGAATCAAATGTTTTTTGAACCATTCAAATCGGTTGATCCGTGCGCCCGAAAACGTGAACGAAAAAATGCGGCCACCAAAAACACACGCACACAAACAGACACATCCATTTTTTCTGAGGTATGCCAAAATGTTCAGAAACCTAAAAACCGTAGAAAAATGGAAAAAATTTCATTCGTGATTTTCCGCCCATTACTATATTATATATAGGTTAGTTATAACTAACCTACGGAGAGTTAAAAATTTAACGTACATTAGATATATAAACCACTTTTTACATACGTGAAATTTATGGAAAAAATCACCCCTCATGAAGAGGTGCTGGGACCCGAATAGCAAAAATAGCTGAACCACTTCAATTTAACTATTTGGTTTCAAAACAACGCAACTTTGACCTAAAAATGATTCAATAATTGGAGGATTGTCAAATTCTGACCACTCCACTTCTTCATTGTCATTATTTCCAGGATCTCTGGAAATAATCGGTAAAACTCTACGTCTTCTAGGATGAAAAAAATCTTCATCCACATACACTACCAAAATCAGTAATATCAGAATCACTTCCAATTTGTGATAAATTATTGGCGCAAACTTTACTATCGCTATCCGATGCCATTATTTCATTATTGCAAATAACAATGTAAAAAAACTATACAAATTGAACTATACAAATCTGACTAATAACTAATCTGACTATTTTATTGTTGTAAATTTTGCATATTTATCTACAAAACAAATTGCGAGTAGCTTGAATGAAAGAAACTTGAAGATAAAACATATTGTTTCTTATCCTTATTCTTATTCTAAAAGTCTTTCAATACGTAAATCAATTGAATCTAAAAAAAAGTATAATATCAGCTATTCTTTCAATATCATATGCAAACCGATCAGATAAAAGTATTTTGACTCGCTTAGTTAGTCTATTGAAAGCGTAATAATACCTTGCCCGCCGATAAGCAACAGTCCTCGCAGAGCGTAATTTTACGGGGCCCGCCTATAGTGTGTTAATTATACATATAGTGGCTAACATCACTAATTATACGTATCTCTCACAATTAATAAATCCTTTTCATTACAGAAAAAGACACAGCGCAGCATTTATTAAGGTTTAATCGGAGACACGTGCGTAAAGACAGTCTTTAGAGAACATAATTAATTTCAACTTTCCGAATGAGAAGCTGGAAAATCTGATGTACTAATTAAGTTTTATTGACTGTCCACATTCTGAATCAATTGATACCAAAATTGATATAAGTATGTATGTGTATGACTGCTTCACCGATTGCAGAAAATTAAAGTGGTATTTGATAAAACACACTAAAGACAGTTAGGCACGATGATCGTCTTGGCCACTTCGTGAATTAGCAAATAATTGCTAAATATTTCATCAACGTTTTATCCAAAAATCCTGAATCGATTTTGAAAATCCAAGGGTTATTTGAAAAATATTATTCAGAAATAGTGCTAATTGTTTTTTGGCGAAGATGACCCGAACTTTTCTTCACCATCATTTTTTGAATTCATTTGACGATTTTAATTACTCTTTGCATAATGGTATAGATCATGGTCTAATTCAGTTATTCTCAAAGTGATCCATTTGGACCCACACAACGAAAAAGGGAGTCCACTGTAGCAAATTTCAGCATCTGTTAATATCTATTGACTTATATGCTTTCGATAGTATAGTGTCATAGATGGAACTAAAATTAGAAACATAATATATTTTTTACAAAAATGGTAGTATTATTTGCCCCGTTACAGTTAATAAAGACAAACGTTTAAAAGACGGTTTAATAATTGTAGAACGGTACTAAATAGAAAAGGATGTTTCGCATTATTACCGATCTCCTAATAAATTAAAAGATTCGGTCGGGAGATACGCAATCGATTAAAGTTGTCACTAAACTTATTGCTTACTTTATTTTGTCATTCAAAATTCAATTTTATTCAAGTAAATGTTTAAACCTAGCATGTATATTTACTTAAAATTTAAATATGGGTACTCATGGTAAAGCGTAAGGGATACACGAAATAAAAGAGTTTAGGTACGAATGGTGTAAACATACATCCTAAAATATAGGCCTACGAAAAGTGGTTTGATTGTAAAAGTTCGTGAAAGTTTGGAATAATGGTCCGCGTGATTGAAATATATAGGGTGTAAAAATCAATATAAAATCGCATTGATTTAGTTTAATGAAAAGCGAAATCTTTGTTTGCTAATTGAGTTGCTACCACTTATACATAAGTCGATTGTCTACACATTGAATTTCAAGCAACTTTTGTTCAGATAAAATGCCGCTTATTTTTAGTTTATATCGATTATTTAACAAGTGAAATTATTTTTGATCACAATATTACAAAATTGGCAACGACTATGTTTTTGCTTTTTGGACAAAACGAGTATATAATTTATGTAACAAGAGTAATTTTGGCAAAAGTTTTTGTAGCGAGATACGATGTTAGTATTTCGTAAAAGTATTCGTAAATGATTCGGTGTTAATTTAGCTGAATAAATCCATTTAACATTTTAGCTTATACTTACATAAATATGTCTAACAGTTTAGTTGTATTTTGCTAATCCATATTTAGCTAAACTTTTCCAAAGTTTTAATACAAAAATATTCTTACTCAGTTTCTCTTGTAGTTGTAAAACCCAACGCTTGTCATTAAGTTATGATCTTGGTCTAGTCTTTAGTATTTTAATTTTTACCATTTTACCCATTGAAATTTTTATTTATTGTACTAACCTGACATGAATCTTTCAGGCCAACTCCTGGATATCCGGCGCACAACATGTTGTCCGTTATCATTTTTGCCGAATAATTGGTTAATCTGCACTCATCGTTACTTATCACAGGTACCTATAATAGGTTTTATTAATATTTTCATTTTGTGGATGTTAAATAAGACATTGAAGTCTTGCTTATCAAAAATAAATTATAACAAAAAAAAATTGTGGATGTAGACTTTCTAATAGATTGACTTCATATTTTTTAACAATATTATATACTTTAGTTTGGCAGAAATAGGGAACACTTTTAACATCCACATTTTTTAGAAAATCCTAATCAGATTTCTGAAATCCAAAATTTATTTTGAACTATTATTTTCGGTGAACAGGAATTTGTGTTATTTACACAAAAACTTATATGTATATATATGGTATACATATATAGATCTACATGCAATATAATATATAAAAAATTCAATTTTTTTATACCTCGACTTCTTGCAAAATGCACGACGGTTTGCCATCTTCTTTCAAGGTACCCCAGCCCGTCGCCGTAGCCCTCGTTCCAACGTACAAATTATCTAATAGATAAACATATTATTTAATTTGATGGAGATTTTTTTATTTGCTTAATGATCTAACTACGTAAGACTTCGAAGACAATGGTTTAATGGACAAAGTAGAAATAATTAATCTAAAAACTACGCCTAGTGATACGTAGAAATTTTACAGTGATGATAGTATAATTGCTTAAAAATGAAAAAGATTAAATTGATTTTTACCTACTTAGATATTTTAGACTTACTTATTAGTACACTTGAAATATTTATTTTGATATTTTTTTTAAATATTATAAAATATCATGTCATAAAATAATAACCTTGGCTTTTCGGATCAAGGCTCTTAGGCTGTTCAGTCAACATGTTTTGACTGACCATGCCCTGAGTAGATACATCATTTCTGATGGAAAGAATTAAATGAATAATTAAATTGTATTTTATGAATTCTTCTTCTTAACATCTTTCTATCAAACAGTTTTTAATTTCTTCATATTAAATGTAATAAAAATATCGAAAGATGCTCGCCCATAAATATCAAGAATTTTACGATTGATCAATATATGTGATAATCTGTTTTGAACGTCTGGAAGGTCTGTAAATATATTTGTTCAAAATTACATCGTGCTCATATAATACAACGTGTTCTAATGATCAATCCTGGTCTCCTGGATTTGTGCAATTAATGGTGTGATCTAATCTTATAGACCAGGGTATTGGCTTGAGAAATGTATCTAGAAGATATATATATATATATATATATATATATATATATATACATTTGATTCGTTCAAAATGTATTGATTACCTAGTAGAGACTTCGGAAATAGTTTAATCCAGGGACTCTGTATAAGATTTAGTGGATGTCATATAAGATTCTGGTACACAAATAGACTATTTGTGGTATTAATATCCAGTGTCAATAATGGATAATATTATAATAGTTAAAATTAGATATGTTATACTATACCAGTCTTATGAAGTGGTAATTAATTGTTTTTGAAAAGAATTATTCGAGGTTTTGAAAAAGTCAAAGATTGAAAAACCGCCAACTGCCTGATTTTATTAATCTAATGAAACAGTATCTGATAATATACGAAAAATGGTACATCATGTTTTGAAGTTTCATGAATTAAAAATATTTTCTTAATCAATTGCATGAAAAATGCAAAACTTTCTTTAAGCGTTTGGTGTCAAATTGATCGCAATTAAGAGAGCTCTAGAGGTGACGATAAATGACAAGTTTTCGAAAACAGTTATTTATACTGGCAAATTCCACAATTTTATAAGAAGTAATATATTATGAAATCTAATCTGAATTATCTGAAGGAGGAACTATTAAAATCGTATGCATTAGAGCACATTTTGGCACATTTTTAACTTAGGCACCACAGGAAATGAAATAAAAGACAGAAGAGCGAAATCGGCAGTTGCTGATGCATTAAGAATGCCACATTCATGGTCCATAAACAAGCAACAAAAAACTTAGGTTCTATATATTTATAAAGAATCTTTTTTTTTATTCTCGAAATAATATATTTATTCAAATATACCTGGACTTGTTGGAAGACAAATCGGCCTGATGAAGTCTGTGATAGGAACTCTGTCGTTTAGTCGGAGCAGAGCAATATCATTGTCGAAATTAAGAAAGCTGAATTCTTGGGCTATGGCTCTCAGCACGAATCTCGTTTCTGGTCTCTTTGTATCGTTGCATCTATCGTGTTCTCCAAATGTCACTTTTATCATGAACCACATAAACCTGTTGACAAAAATACAGGTTTCAGTCTATTTTACGATCCATAAACGTGGAGAGGATCTTACTCGTAAAACATAAGAGGAATATGCTGGTTAATTGACTAAGATGATTATCTTTGTAAAAGATTCAGCAAGACATCACACATATGATATACAAAACGTATAAACACAAATTCCATGTTATATTTAAAACATATTATTCATTATTATTAAAAAAAACTATGAACATATAACAGTAAAAGAACAAAGTGCTTACAAAGTTGTGGTGTGTAAGTAAAGGGCATAAATAATATATCTCAATGCATAGATATAGCATTAATGAACTATATGCATATTAAGTAACATAATTTTATTAATTTCTCGTAGGGCAAGTTATTGTAATCGCAAAAAAATCGAAAATGAAAATTTTTATATATCTTTACGGTTCAAAGGTTTCTGAACATTTTGGCATACCTTAGCAAAAATGGATGTATGTGAAAAATGAATACAATTTTTGTCGACGATTTTGAGAATACGGATCAACCGATTTGAATGATCAAAAAAGACACTCGATTTCTATTGATAAGGAAACGTGCTGATTAGTTTTTGGCTAAGGCTGTTCTGAAGATACTGGGCAAAAAATGCCAAAAATAGTAATTCAATTTTTGAGAGAACGGAGCGTCCGATTTGAAGGATTCAAAAAACATTTTTTTTTCAATTTTGGTATCAAACGATTGAGAATTATTTGAAACGTCGACAAAACATTGTATTTTGTGGAAAACAAAATGCTGCTTCAGAAAGTTGATAAAATAAAATTAAATAGGAATTGATACATCGAGAATTTTGATGGACAATTTATTTTATATCAGGTTTATAGGAAGATTCTTGTTGAGTCTCCTTTTAGCAAATGAGCCACTTGTGGATAACTAGTGAATTTTTTCATGATGTTTAATACAGCTCTATTTGATTCATACTAAACATGAAATTCACTTGAAAAAAGATGTTGAGGCAACATAATACAGAATTTAAACCTGTTTTGATAATTAGGCAAACGTCTCGAAATGCTTGCAACTTTAACACTATTTATTAAAGTTTGAGCTAAAAATTGTAGTGTAGTGCGGTCATATTTATATCAATATATCTTTACTTGATAGTTATAAATATTTTATTTTATAAATGATGAATTTATTCCTGAAATCTGGGCCACCATTACCATTTGGCACACAATTCACAAAAGCACAATGCCATAATTTGGGGGCATGCCATCTCATATTCACGAACGTCACATTTCCGAACAATGTTCCGTTTGTATTTGTCGCCCATTGTGAATCAACGGAGGAATTTCAAATATTTCACACATGATATGAATCGATAATACGACAACGAGCAATCAGCAAAGTTATATTTTGAGAAAACATATTCTTAATATTGATAATAAAAATTTACAAGAGCCATGGTATTGTGTATATTGGCGTGTGCCGATTTTGTTTTGCGACGAACCGTGGATTGAGACAAAAATCTTTCTGATTTCTAAAAACAATTTATGGGCATGGTAAAAAAAGTGGGTATGTTTACACTACTGTTATAAGCAAGTGTTATGTAAATTAGATTAGAAACAAATTAAAACTAAAATCCTACATTAAAGTATTTCTAAAATTTTCAACTGAAATGTTTTCGCTGTCACTGGAAATCAATCAATACCATTTCTATTTCATATGTTTGAAAAAAAACTAATAAAAATAATATCTGTAGTCGTATTAATTATAGTGCACAATTACACGATTGGATGTTTTAAATATACGGCCCATTAGTCAAAATTTTATTGCATTTTTAAAATTCAATCACTTTTCGTAAGGCTATAATATTAACTTCCCGTAGGGTAAGTTATTGTAATGGGCCGAAAATCTGAATTGAAAATTTTTACATTTCTCGACGTTTTGAAGGTTTCTGAACATTTTGGCATACTTCAGAAAAAATGGATGTGTGTGTGTGTGTATGTATGTATGGATACAATTTTTGCCCACGTTTTCGGGCGTACGGATCAACCGATTTGAATGGTTCAAAAAACATTCGATTCCTATTGATAAGGAGATGTGCTGATTAGTTTTTGGCAAAGGCAGGTCCAGCAGTTACGGAGATAAGGAGCAAAGAGTGCAGAAAATAGAAATCGAGTTTTTGAGAGAACGGAACATCCGATTTGAAAGATCTAAAAAACATTCAATTAGTAATGATTGGGAGAACGGGTTATTAGTTTTTCGCAAAGGCAGGCCTAGCCATTTTGTAGATACAGAGCAAAATGTACAAAAAATGGCAGTTTTTGAGAGAACTAAGCGTCTGATTCAATTGGTTCAAAGAACTTTCTGCTTGTCTTAACAAAATAATTGATTTTGGAAAAAAAATTTTTGTTTCAATTTTTTTTTTTTTAATTTTTTGTATATCGAAAATAATTCAGATTTTATTTTTAACTCTGACTATAGTTCTAATATACTTTAAACGAATAATTTTAACTCTGCAATTCAGTTTATATAATTTTATAATTTATATATATATTCTATAATTTAAAAACATTCAGTATTCCTCGAACATTTCCTTACGGTACGGGAAGTTCCAGCAATTTGCCTTAAGGCACGATGCCACCCACCCCACTAGTTTATTTAATTATTCATAAGCAAGTTGTAATCAATAATACTAAATATTATTTCAGACTCTTGTCAAGCTTATTCATAATTAATACTTAAAGGAAAGTAATTTTATAATATTTATGGTATTTTTTGTTGCTCATATCAATTTTGTAAATAAGACATTAAAGTCTTGATTAACAAAAATAAATTGTAA